ACACAGCGTAATGTACTGCTGGCAGACGCCTCATTTACGCCATACTGATGGTCAAACGCACACGCCAGGAACCCGCCAGTGTTCAAACCTGCGTTTTGCAGCATATGAGACAAGAAGCAGGAACCTGGTTTTGGCTCTGTTTAGAATTGGTTATTAAATATTCTCAGGTTTAAGGTGGAAACTCGAGCTGTTGGCGCCATTTGTTGCTGGAGAATTTCTCTCCAGTTCCCACCAGCCCCGGAGCCCACTTATAAAATAAACATACAGACTCTTATATTATTTAAACTGCTTGGCCATTAGCTCAGGCCTATCATTGTCTAGTTCTTACTCTTATATTCAGCCCATTTCTATTAATCTTTACTTTGCCACGTGGTTCGTGGCTTACCAGTACTTTACATCTTCCTTGTCCTGGTGGCAGCTCCAGGCGGTCCCTCTTCCTTCTTCTTCCTGTTTCCCCAATTCTCCTCTCTCCTTGTCCCACCTATACTTCCTGTCTGGTCACTGGCCATGAGTGTTTTATTTATATAGAGCGATATCCACAACACTGAATGGTGGAGGTTGACTGAGCAGAGCTCCAGAGAACACCGCTGGACTTCGATACACCTTCCCCAGACCCAACAACCTACCTTTCCCTTTTTTGTAAGTTACCCACTAAATAAATCTTCCTTTTAACTACGTGGAGTGGCCATAATAATTTCACCAATAGGAACCTTTTCCAATGGCCCCGACTGTCTCTGCCCAAGGGTTTTTATAGAGACACCAAGGGGTGGAGCAAAAGACCTCCTCCCCCAGCACAGCCAAGTGCAGACCATCTCAGATACCTGCACTCAGGCCCGTGGTCCTAATCATCCTCTATGCGGACCTGCTGGGTAAAGCCACGAGGAACCGGAGAACAGGCTCCCACACTTTCATAATGAAGTTTTGGAAGAAACAGAAACAATGTAACAAGTGGTGGGAGATGTTCTAAGGTATACAATAGGCAGCTGGACATACAGGTTTGGAGGTATCATTCTTAAGGGTTCATAGGCGGAAGTATAAATTGTTATGTGTATCATTATTTCTTTAAACAAAATGCCTACAAATGAAATTGCTTCCTCAAGGAGTATGAATTACACACGGACTTTAAACATTTTCTTCTCCCTTTTTCTCACTTTCTCACATACTTGTGACCCTTATGTTGACAAAGTGAATGGGTGTACAAATAAGCATGTACAGAATCTGCAGGTAGACTGATATAGACTAGTATTTTATAATTCACTGGTGGGGGGTAGATTTTAAGAGTTATACCCCTTTCTTTGTAAAAACTCCAACAATTCTCTGATGGATCCCATTGGCATGGTAAATACTATAACTGTATTGATCCATTCTTTACCACTCTAGCTTCCATGCAGGAAGTTGGAATTTACTCAGTTATTTTAAAAGGATATTGTGCATTGGAATGGCTACCCATCCTAGAGTGGATGGAATAGAAGGGGTAGCTGGCATGTTCAGAGGCAACTGAAGGTGAAAAAATGAAGGGCTCTTTTAACTGGCTATGACTTTTTAAGAAAGAGATGGTGCCCATTCCCCGGATTCCAGGAGCAGAAAGGATGAAAAATTAAGAACGATAGCTTGGTTTGTTCCACCTTCTGATTTTTTTTGCCAATCCTTCAGTCATTTTTATTGGGAGGCAAGAGGTTTTGAACTATAGTTACTACACTCCCAGCCCAAGCACCCCTTCAGAGCAGTGTAGGTAAATATGGGGATCGGAGATCCCCAGAATTCAACCTGTACAGCACTTCATGGAGGGAAGGGGGTATTCTCTAGACAGTAAACTGCATGATATATATTAATCTTTGAGACTTCAGAGACCCCAGGGCCTACCACAGTGCTTGCCATACGAAATGCTCAGTGAGTAAGTACCTAGTCCCATCATTGGCAAAAAATTTAAATCAGCATTCATGATTAGCAAGCAATACAACTGAGTTTTAAATAAATATATACAACACTATATTAAAAGTGTTTTACAATATACTTTTTTGGAAATGAACATTTTTGTCATATAATTCTACCAATCATTATGTTAGTAATTTTTAAGGGCTGCTTTTTTGAAATTACTTAAGCTAGCCCCCCACCTCCACCCCCATCCCCCTGTATTTGTGTGTGTGCGCGTGCACGCGTGGCGGTCAGAGAACAACTTAGGGGAGTTTTTGAGAAACGCATGATGCATTTCCAGGACACTCTGTACTAGATGATTATTCTTTGAACGTTCCAACTGTTTCTGCTTTTTTTTTGGACAGGATTTCATTACGTAGCCGAGGCTGGCCCTCTTACTCCTGTCCTTTGACAAAAGCTCGCTAACTTGCCAAGGTCCCTCAGCTAGTGAGAGTGGAGATCCAATCGTTGGGAAGCCCGTTAGCGTTGCAGTAAAAGAAACCCACACGCATACTTCAAAATTTAAAAAGCCAGGACTGGCAGGTAGGTAGTTGGTTAGCGGGATCAGGGATGAATATTTTCTTCATGATCAGTAAAAACCTGACCGCCTAGGCAAGAGTTAAGAACTGACACGCCAGGTAGCAAGCGGCTTCCCGGGCTCAGACCACCTCAGCCTCCTCATTGGCCCTCGCCCTCTGACGTCATATCACCGGCGTCCTGGAGGCGGGACTTCCTGGCTGGGTCCGACCCGTTTCGGGCGCGCCGGAAATCCCTCCTGAGGGACGTGAAAGTCTCCCGGTCAGAAGCTTCTGCGGGACTCTGCTTCCTGGTTTGGGAGGAGGGTTTGTGTGTTAGCGAGCGCCGGGTCTGTCGGGGCGGTGAGACGCAGGAGCTGGGCATGGACAGCCGCTTGCAGGAGATCCGGGAGCGGCAGAAGTTACGGCGGCAGCTCCTAGCTCAGCAGGTGTGCGGCCGGGGGGCGGGGGGGGTTCAGTGCGCGTGCGCGGCCGCCTTTTTTTTTTTTTTTTTTTTTTCTCCCCCACTCCTGCCCTTTTTGTGAACTCTATTGCCAGTGTCAAGGTCTTTGTCTTTTATTCCCTGGTCTCCCCCTGCTCTTAGCTCAGGCGGGTGCAGAGCCTGTGGGAGACAAGCCCCCAGTGCTCCTCTCGGGCTTGGCGGACCCCTCGTTGGGGGCACCCTTTTCAGTGGTGGGGATGGATTTGGTATTGGAGATGAGCGGTCCATACAAGGGCAAGTGCTGCCTGTGCGCCTCCGCATTTCTCTTCCCTGTGTAAGCGGGGTTTCGCGTCTTGCCGTTCTTCCACTTCAGCCTCACGTTGTTGTCAGTGTGGGGGTTTGTGCACGTGAGTTCAAGTGCCAGCGGGGGTGCCGAAGTGTCGGGTCTCCCCGGAGCTGGAGGTACGGGTGGGTCCTGGGGCTTGAACTCAGGTCCTTTGGAAGAGCAATGCATGCACCCAGTTTCACATTCTTGAGATTAATTTTTGAAAGAAGTTTGTATTTTCCTGAGATCATATCGAAAGATTCATTGGGAGCAAACGGAGAGTAAACTTTAGAGTCTGCACTAAAATACAATCTCCCCGCGACCAGTATTTGAATCTTTACTTTGTAATTATTAGAAACAAAGTGTTATGTTCACTTACTAAGCAAGGAACGGGTCTCCAAGATTGTTGCTTCCCCTGGCCGCTCCTCACTAGAGAATTAACGGAGATTTGTCTCTCCAAATACTGTCTTGCAAACCTTTCGCTTTCATTGAAGTTTGTAGATGAGTATGTAAGTGCTGGACGATTAGTGGACTATACGTGCAGAGGGTACACGTTACACTTTGTTTTACTTAAAATCTGGGGCTGTTTTCATTGCACCATACAAATGGATATAAGTGATGGAGGGAAATGTACAAAACTTTAGAGAGGCAGCTTGCTAAATCCACCGTTAAATATTGGTTCCTCAAAGAGCTTTCAGAAGAAATGACTTGTATTCTGAGACATGAATTACAAATAGAAATTAATCATGGGGAGGAAATTAGAAAACATTCCAACCATAGGAAGCGGGTGTTCTGTAATCAAAAAGAATTAGAGAAGATTTAATGGAGGAGTTGAAATTGATGAACATTTCATATATTAGAAGAAAATTTTCATTGGAGAAATGAGGATAGTTATATGAAGCGGTAGATTAAAAGAATATTTTGTTTACATTTGTTGCATTCTGCAGAATTTCCCCAGTGGCCACCCAAAGTTGACATTACCAATTTCCTTCCTTCCTTCCTTCCTTCCTTCCTTCCTTCCTTCCTTCCTTCCTTCCTTCCTTCCTTCCTTCCTTCCTTCC